CTTCTTGTGGCATTTTCCCTTCTGGGCTGCTATATATTCGCATTGATCTTTATGAGTTGTAGAAATGAAAAATGATGGGCGGCGAACCATTAATATGTTGGCTAAATGTGGGTTCTGGGGGCCATTGGGATTGGGGTATCTTACTCTAACTTGAAGGCCCAATAATCAGAAATATCGATTCGGTGGTATTCAATAAGATATGTCTCTATGTGTATAAGCAAAGACTCCATTATCATCTTTCATCCGTGGTACGTTGTTCCTTCGAATCGGTCAATATCCAGAAAATCCTGCTGATTTAGTGCGCCTCTCATCTTGCACTCGTGTATCCTACGTAGGTACACACAATAGCACACTTCATCACCAAATAGTCTAGAATGATCGTATCTAATGGTTCAAGAAAGAATGAATTCTAGGTCCAAGCACATTCGATAGACGACTTACCAACTCGGGAAGATTAGGGGTAGATTGCATCCCGACATCGCCTTCGCCTGCGATGTAGTACTCACAACCGATCGTAGAGAATTTTTCATGGGTTTATACATACAAAATTTGGTGCGAATACACAATATTTGAAGTCGTGTTATTAAGATATCCAAACAATGTTGATAACAAGGTCATCCAAAAGCCCTATCTAGGTATGTTCAGTTCTCAATTGTAAAGCATTCACTAGTGAAAATCATTTTCGGAGTTTGCAAACAATTCAAGCGTAGATTTATAAATATAAAATTCCAATATTATTACTCAGGTACATATTAATGCATTACATCGTTCTACCAACTTCTACCCCTCAAGAAACACAAAAGATAGAAAACCATCTAAAAATAGTCCACGGTCTATTTATACAAAGCCCATTATTCCTGAACCCTGACACATAACAAATAACCAGCAGTGTGCATGGGGTCTCTGGTGAACGCTCCAATACCCCAGCTGCTTGTGGATATTTGAAGAGTACAGAGATCTATTTAGTATGCAGCCCGACGAGCGAGAGTTGAGTTGCTAGCAATAGTTGAGCTTGAGTTGCTAGCAATGCTTGAGCTTGAGCTAGCTGCAACCTTGCAGTTTGCAGCGTAGTTTGGATTGGTGGAGTTGGACAGGGTGTAAGAAGAATCGATGGTGTAAACGTCAGTTCCACTAGTATAACCAGTGTTAACAGCATAACTGGTATCCCATGAGTCGGTATACATAGCACAAGCTTGGCCTTGAGCAACACCGTTCAAGTAAAGGATATAGGTATTGATGAATTGACAAGTTTGGACACTGCCAGTTGCAGGTGGATGAGCAACATTGAATGCAGTGGTGGCATCACAAGCTGCTGTGCAAAGGCTGACATCGAATGGCGTGTCAGTGAAGAAACGAGATCCGAGGTAAGTATCAGCCTTGTTGCAATCCAATGGAGCATTGATAGAAGCACCTGTAAGGGATGTAGGAGGGTTATATCCAGGTGGCGTTGGGAATGAATTGACATTGTAACCGTTTGATCCTGCAATGACAACACGGAATGTGCTTCGCCATTGACCATCATTGACTGCAGTTTTGGCATCAATTGCACCACCCCAGAAGACACATTTGACGTTGGTCATGGAAGATGGGTTTGTGCAAGAAGCACCTGGATCGACAGATGGGTCGCGTTCAAAGTAAATATTGAAGGCATTGCATCCAGCGATGTCAGAACACTTGCTAGCACAAACATTCGTATCATATGTAGGCAATTGTGTGAATCCCATGTACTTCAAAGCATTGTTGGATGCATTGAGGTTGACAAAAGATCTAGTAAAGCCAGATGGAGTTGCGGCGCTATTAGCTGCATCAGCAAATGGCTGATAAGCTAAAAAAGAATCCGGATCATCTGCTGGGTTGGTTCCAGTGTAGATAGTTGCTGGTTGGGTTGAGCAATCACCATCTCTGGCGTTGATCTGACCAGCTTCCCGCTTTGTGGTCAACGTGGTTTCTGTTGCCTTGACAGCTGAACTTGTGGTAACAGCAGCAGCGGCGGAGGAGGTAGCAGCAGTAGGATTATATGTGACGACCTCAGCAGTAATACCGACTGGTACACTTTGAACAGATTGTACAACAGGGTTGAGGGACTTGAAGTCAATTTTTTGAGGATGAGGAGCAGCGTTGGCACCTGCAGCAGTCAATGCTACCAGGGCGAAATCGGTAAAACGCATTTTTAAGGAGAGAGATCTATGAAGATTTGAAAAGAAGGTTTGAATGTGAACTCAAAGAGAGTGTTTGAAAATTGTTAAGAGGTGAATCGCAAATTTAGAGAATGAAGGGCTGAACTGAGGATACTGTGATGGATGATGGAAAAAGAAATTATACTGAGAGGATTTGGCATGTACTTATACAGGATAAATCGCAGGACTATCTACCGTTTTCTCGAATCTGAATTGAAGTTCTCAAACATGACTTAAAGTTCAAAGATACCGATATCGACTTTTGCAATGATAATTGGTGCCGGATATCCCGTTGCTTGACCTTCCACGGAATGTTTCTAGCTGCTTTGATAGTAACTGGAAGTTCAAAGTGCCTAATAATGAGCTATAGCCATCCCCGAAGCTATTGTAATAATACTAGTCCAAGTTGTGGCGCCGTCACTACGCTAGAGTGCATGTTTCCGCTGGATGTTTTGAATGGTAGCAAACCGCCTTGTAAGGTAAGAATGGCCTTCTCAGATTCATGAACTCGTTGACGCTCAGCCAGAATAGTAGGATGGTGGAGATAAGAACCATTTCTTCCTATTTTTTGAAATTACGAGGGGACTGAGGGTATATGATACGGGAAATATTGATGAATTGCACCAACTTATTGTTCTTAAATTAGGTTGGTGTCAAAGAGTCATAGGGCCGAGCACAACATTGTGAGCCGCCACTTCTCCACATACCAGATGGATAGCAAAGATAGGAAGAATACCGTGGCGTCAATCAGAAGGTTTTAAAATTTAAAGAATAAACAATGCACCGAGATCTTCAGTGCGATTATCTGGTTCTGAGCTAAACAGTCACAGAATGTCGATCGCCGTTGGATCAACAAATATTCAACAGGGGTGAGCTTATATAAACCTTAGACTATGTCGGGAGATGCGATATCAAGATATTTCTTCTTATCCAGCATTGACAAATACTAAGTACCGACAGTATGGCGCAATATTCTCTTTCTGTTCTTACTCGTACGACCAAAAAGTATGCAACCCCGAGGCTAGCTAGAGACTCATACCAAAACATGGTAAGCCGCAAGAGGACTAACCTGAATCTCTTAGTGGGGAAGCTCAATACTTCTCGGCAGCAAGAGTAACTTAATCCGATCTTTAATTTACCCAGAGTCTGTATCTGGTCAAAGCAACTGGTCTGATCGAATTTCGGAAACAGGGTCCACATGTCAACAGTGCAGAAATCTAAATATGAGAGCTTGGCATTCTACTTCAGATCTGGGTAGTTGATAGAGTGGACAACTAATTGAGATGTAATACAATCGCTAAACTTTCGAGCTCCTCACAAATTCATACTCTCACAATGATGATTGATCTACTCCGTATGTGTATGACTCTCTAGTATGATATTTGGGGGTGAAAGTTTTATGAGGGGTGGCTTTGATAAAGAGATATAGATGGATCTACAATCTTTATCCAGACAAGTATTTACTAAGTTATTAGGGTTTTAGAGTTTCAACTCATGCCGTGGCGACTATGAAAGCTCTAGTTCCAATAATTTGTTGTGACTCAGCGAGACAATAATTGCTTTGTACTCAACTTCTCAACAATCTCGGTCTGCAATGTCTCGAGAAATTTTGAGGAAGCAGTATGACCCCTATATGTATCATCTAAGCAAGATATGACGGCTTCCATATAAACAATTCCCATATGATAAGAGATTCCCTTCTTAGCAATACTTACGAAGTTTTCTCTGACCTCTTATTTGTAAGTAGTCGTGACATCAAGACCGAGACCCTTTGCTGCAGAGTCAAAATGATCCTTTGTGGTCTTCCATGCTGCAATCTCCGGAGAAGAAATACTGCTAGAGGATATATACCATGAAGTTCGGTCACAGTCATACGAGGGCAGTCAGGATGAAGGTAAAGAGCATCGCTATTAGTTGTCTGTTGATAGCGTGCAGAAATCTTTCCTTCTTCTGGGCGTGAGTAAGCAAAATCTACAAGGTACAGAGACCTGAGCATAAGAATTTCCTTTGATTGCTCTTAGAAAGATACGACGGACCACTTCTGTGAACTCAGCCATCAGCATGAATAGCCCAATAATTTTCGCAATCATTTCGGCACCTTGTGTCTTTTCACACAAGATTTAATGGAAATCGTTAATCTTGTGTTTTGGATTTTATGAGTTCATGAGGAGAGCATGCAAGAAGTAGCCAAGCATGAAGGCATATCACTCTTGATCTGGCTCATGAACATAAAATTCGAAAGGGAGCGTTCGCAGTATCGAGCCTGAGGACGATATACTCAGGAGTTCTGCCAGTCGTCGAGCATTTATCTTGGTATCAGCATCAGAATTTCTTGACGTTGTATTGCAATTCTCCTTCAAGGGTGGGTCTTGAGCTTAATAAGAACCGACTCTTGTTCAGCAGTATTACCTCCTTCCTGCCTGAACTCCTATTCTGTCTTAGGTATAGCCTCATCATATTTTGTGGGTTTCCAATAGAGAACGATGGAGAGCTTCGATTTGCAAGTTTCTTAATATCACGTTAAGATATACAATGTGAATGGAAAATATCTATTCATATTATGGCTACACGCTGGATATTTTACCCAAGATGGACTATTGTTGAAACGCACTAGTATTACCAAAGCTCCACATTATGGAAACAACGGATTAGCCGAATTTGAGTTGTAAACCTTGCATAGATTAATCTTCTACCTATATATTGATCCTCCCATCACAGATTCTACAGCTAAACGATAAGCCCCATTACCATGCACTGACCCAAAGAGTGCAACGTATTGCTACCTCTAGACTCGTACAAGAATCACGATCACTCTTCGGCCAGTCAAAGATGAGCATCCCAAGATGGATTGTGGTTAGCCATCTTAGCCCTCAAATTCTCTTGAAATCTTCTGTCTTGCTCCGCGTTCCTTCTCTTATCCCCACCGGCCCGTGTAAGTTGGTATTCGATGTCTTGAGCGCATTTATCGATTATAATTTGTATAGCACGCGCTCTGGTAGAGCTAAGGGCTATCTGGGGCGACCTGAACAAGGGATAACCATTTAGTTGGACAGAAACTTTGAGATCTAGGTTGGATGCCATTTTGATGTTTGGTATTCAGAGCGTTGAAATAGATGTTAGTTAAATTATGGTAACTTTGTGGCTGCCTGGAGGTTGTTGAATTTGAAATAGGACGAAAAATCTCAGTATGGAAGGATCATTATATGAGAGCGAAAGCATTTTTTTGGTATTTGATCCATTCACCGATATTGAAACATTATCAGCGTGTCTACTTGTGCATTGAACCAAATGTAGTGATTATAGTCTGGAAATAACCTCGGATTCACACTTCGCACCGTTTCTCCCAATATGAATGTTTGACGAACGGAGAATGGCAAGGTGCAATGAAGCATTCAAGAATTCGTTATGAATGTTACCATCTGAGGTGTGCCATTCACAATTTGTAGGAGTACCACTTTATTTCGGAAAGTGTCAAAAAAATAATACGGAATTTGAGGATCAAAAACAATTCTCATCTAATATATCGTGATTTAGACAAGTTTCTGTTCTTCGGACTGGAATAATTTGGGGTAGGAAATACACAATACTGGTCTTTTAACAAGAACTCATAGCTTCAAGGTATGCCAAGACACATCGGCTGCAACAAAGAACGTTGAACTGTATGTATAATTCATCCCCTGTTCAACGGAGGCAAACATTCTTTCATGCTTTCACTTGAAAGAGACTAACTGAGAGTTTCACCTCTGATTAAATTTCAGCGATATTGAAATATCTCTGGCGAGAATACGCTCAAACCTGCAGCATAATCAAAGCGACCGCAATCCCATGACAATTAGGACGGATTTATGATTTTTCAACGATTATGACTGACAGAAACGATAGATATTTGACCATTCCTCCGAGCTCGAAGACATGGCGGAGAAGTCGTCAAAATCATCGACTTCATCTCAAAAAACACGACGTTCAACAAGAATTCTTACCAAAAACTACTTTCCGCGACCATCGCCCCGTCAACCAGGACCTACGAATTTCAACATGCTTCCACGATGATTAAATGACCGTATTTGGCAAAGTTGTCGAGGAAATTCCTAGAAGGCTGAGGTTGGATGAAGAACTTACGGATTTTCAGCCACGTCAGCATCTGCCAGAATTTTGGACCCTTTTAAGAGTCAATCGTACAAGCCGAGCTGTTGCTCTCTCGAATTAGAGGCTCCTATTCGAAGGAGATTGCTGATTCAGACCCCAAAAGCATTCTATGTATTTCAATCCTGCAATTGACACGCTGTGTGTACTAGATTGGTCAATTCTCAGGCCATGTTGGCGTTGGGACATCGATCTTGATTTTTCATCGATCAAACACGTTGAGTGCAAAACTAAAGACTATACATAGATACGTCTTGGAAAGGCTCGATAACTTAGATACAATAAAAGTTCATTGTCTGTCGCGTACAGCAATTTCGGAAGGGCATGTCCGGAGCTAGAGGTTAAGATGAGAGATTTGAAGAATGATATCGAACAGTGGATCGAGGAATGGTATCCTGAAAGATGTAAACCTGGAGTTGAAGTAGTTCTTTCCGCGGAAAGAATCGCATCGTATGAACGAAAACCCCTGGTACTTACGATCCCTTCAGATTTCAAGTATATGTATTAAAGATTTCAACCTTGCCGTCGGAGCTCCTTGGAGGCAACATTTGGCAATAACCGAATGAACGTAGGTATGGGATTTTTCGAAGGCTTAAATTTAGGAGAATTAACATAAGCTTACTTTGGCCATGTTCGGGAGTTCCGTAGAATGACGTCTGATCTGTACAAATACTCCCGATTGTCGCACTTGGTGATCATGAGATGAGATTTGCCGATTGTGGCGCTTAGGCGCTAAGGCTAACCTAATTTACAGCACATGCGATGCGAGTATAGCTTCTGATAACGATTATGCCCAGGTAAATTCATCGACTACATGAAATTCTAAACAATACTTTGCTCGAATATGAGATCACTGAGGTGAATTGTTGCTAATCCTTAAAAGAATTGACACCTTTTACTATATCGTTCTTTGGATCCGCGACGCGATTGACCACGCACACGACGCGTAACAATTACTCCCCGTTGTTCTTCTGAGTCCCTCGGAGATCATTCACACAGTAGATGGAAATTTGATATGTAATTGGGCATGTATTAACAATCGTTTCCTACACTTTCATCTGCCGGTATGTTGAATACCCTCATGCCCCGCCTTAGGCCTCTCTCTCCTTCAACTTGACATGCAAAGCTTTTGGTTCAAATACAAGGTACGCTCGCTGATCAGTCCAGTTCCAGTCGTTTTTATCTACCAACTCCATCTCGAAATTCCATATCATTCGAGCTAGTGTTACTCGGGCCTGGGCTAGGAATGTTCTATTATGGACGTCTTAGCATTGGTTAAGAATGTGGAAACGGCTGAAGGAACATACTTCCCTCCCATACAGTTTCTTGGACCTGCTGAAAAGGGCTTGAACGCTTCTTTTTGATCCCTTCCAAATCGAGCATCATATAGAGGGTGGTGCTCTGCAAGGAAACGTTCTGGCTGAAATACTTTTGGCTCAAAGAAATTCAAGGGCGAAGTTTGAGCTGTCTGCATTGCTATGCCGATTACGCTCTATGTTGATGTCAGTCAATGTCAAAGCAAAATTGGTAGATTTACTAGCTTACTCCGCCTGGTATCCATTGACCTGCGACAGCTGCACCTTCAGGAGGAACGTTCCTAGGTAGGTGAATTGGTGTCGGGTGATGAATTCTCAATGTCTCATTTATGACTGCTTCCAAATAAGGTAATTCTGCTGTCGATTGAACACTTATATCCTTTTCTTCCGAGTAGTAAGACCTTATCTCTTCAGTCAATCTCCTCATTGTTCGTGGATATCTCATTAAGAAATAACAAGCCGTAGCCAATGCAACAGTGGGTAACTGACATCCTGCTATCACAATAGCAAGACCATTGGTATTCAACTCCTTTCTCGTTATACCTTTTCCACCATCTGATTCATTGACATTCCCAATAATAGGGCTAACGAAATCAGATCTTTCGGCTCCCAGATCTCCCATCTCTAATCGATTGGTAATTCTATCTGTTGCCAATTTCCAGTTTTGTGCTCTCATCTTTGCAGTTAATCGGAGGAACAGCCAACCAAATATAACTTCGAGTGGATGAAATCTTTGAATACTATTTCTTATGGATCCAAATTTGGCACCCAAAAAGAATCCCAAGATCCACGAATGCTCATTGTCTCCCTCGAGACCATGAAAAGATTCTCCGAACATGAGATCAGCATATATGTCCAGTGATAGATATCCAAAGAATTTTGCTAGATCAACTTCTGCATTAGGACTTTTCATTGTTTCACGTCTCAATCTCTGAAGTAATAGCGCTATATATCCTTCGATAATCTTACTTTGCTCTCGAAGTGCTTTGTCAGAAAAAGCATTGGCAAAATTTCGTCGGATACGAACATGAGTATCACCAGTGGCTGTGAATAATGACTCCGCGCCATTCATAGGAGGTGTCATGCTAAAAGGATCCTTTGCCATTTGCGGTCTTTTGGTATACACATCTTTCCAAGCCTCAGGAGAGATAGTAGTAAGTTCATCTGGAGCAATTCGAACCACTGGTCCATATTTTTCATGAAGTTCATCCAGATATTTGTAAGTGGTTCCAAGAATTACGTATCGTATCAGGGGTAACCTTGAGATCGCCAGACGTTTTGGACCTGGAAACTTGGATAATGGTGAGAAGTAAAGATTGTAGATTGCAAAGACTAGATAGTACTGGTATATGTTATTCTCATTGAAGTCGATCCAATTGTAGTGGGATGCTTACAAAAATAAACAGGAATACTGCAAGTATCATTATTTCTTGACGATTCGGGAAAAAGTTGATCGACCCCATGATCATGAATGAATCAGAAATTCAGATGATCTACTGCAAAAGGAATTTTGGAAGCAATATCTGCAAGAAAGAGATAGCAGGCTACAAGATCAAGGTTCAATGTCATCCAGATACGTTCAAGATCATCATTCGGACCTTGAAGCCTATACCAAGACAGTGGGGACAAATATTGTCAAGAGCTGAGAATCATGTCTTAACATAATGTGAGACTAGTTGCCAAGTAAAACCCCAAATACTAAAAGATGTAACCTCCCACAACGTTCAACCAAATGAGTAAGGTAGCTCAAGCTGATTTTGTGCTAGACGGCACTAAGATGGCTTCATGCTGTGTTTCTTGCCTTACCAAAGTTATTCTCCTTCTAATTCGGGGTTGGTTTCCAAATTACCGTTATAAACATGACTTTGCAAAAGGATTTGTGGTAATCTCTGATATGGTGCATCCGAATGATGTTGAGTTACACAGAGTTACTCCATTACACGGAGTCGATTCTCGTGCACCAATTGATCGCTGAATTTGAGGATCGAGACCTTGATATGACGCAAACGTGTGAAGAGGAATCTGCTTTCGTATACGAGATTTATGGGAATTGTTTCAACCTTTGAATGTTGTCTTGCAAGCTTGGGCATTCTATTTATGGTCCTGTCTTCTGTCTTGGTGTTCGAGATGAACCCCCAATACATTGTGTTAAGATCAACTTTTCAATGTCTCGTCGAAAATGAGGTCTAGCGTCCGATTCACAGGAAAAAGTCGAGAGAGCAGAAATGAACCACCACCCCTTAAGGAATTGTCGTTCAAGGTTGAGAATAGCTTCAGAATCAACCTCGTATATTTGGTATGGATATGTGATTAATGTGATGTAATGGGAGCTCTTGAAGTCTATTTTCAGTATCAGGAGATTAGACAATCAGAAAAGAAAAAGAAAAAGGGAAAACAGCCGGTTGTCATATATGACAGATCATGGGCCAGCTTGATGATAGCATTACACAACCTCATCATTATACCTACGTCAAAACTTTTACCTGCAGCGTGAGTTACCTGAGCATGCAAGCTAGCATCCACAATCGTCTCAAATCCAAACTGAATTGATGCCGCGTATGCACCTCAATTCAATAGACAGCCGAGACTGAAATGAATGCATTATGCCAACGTTATCTGTAATCTCAATATGCATCATAATTGTTGCAGTTATTTTTACAATAACGTGCATAGTATTCTACAGTATGTCTCTTATCAATTGTTGCAATAAGACTTACTAACCAAACTTGAAGTCAATAGAGAAGACGTCAGCTCTTTCCTGCGTTATCATGGTAAACAATTTCGACTTCGGCATATTACACCACGATCGCAAATTGCTTGCGTTTTACCAGATACTCGGCCAGCAAGAACAATAGAGAAAATAGATACTCATCACCATATGATTCCACCTGTCTATCTTGACTGTATGTACATTCCATTTGATCCTGACTGGTATCCCCGAGCTTCCTCTATTGAATATCTCTCGGCATCAGTCTGCTATAAAATTCTGATAGCTTTACCAGATATCAAAGAAAACCCCAAAGAACCCAGTGATTTAACATTCCCAACATGGTCTCCACAAATCTCTCTTGATTTTATGGCCAAAAACTCTATCTCGACGTCCATCCTATCATTTGCTCATTCCGCTCTTGGTGATTCATCCCTCTGCCAGGACATCAACATTTACGCCCATAATTTACGTCTTCAATATCCCACCAAGTTCGGCTTCTTTGCCACCATTCCAATCATAACTGTAGCTTCCCTACCAGAAGTACTTGCTAGCATCAAGTTTTGTTATGAAAAGCTCAATCCAGAAGGTTTCACACTTTTGACTAGCTATGATGGGAAATATCTTGGCCACGACATATTTCGACCCGTTTGGGAAGAATTGAATAGAATCAGCGCGGTGGTATTCATACATCCCATTGCTAATTCACTATCTCCACAATCACTCGAGAACAATTCTTCAATCCCTCCTATTGTCGACTTTACACATGAGATGACACGCACAGCTTGTTCTCTCATCTACGCCAATACTCTATCTTCATATCCAAAACTCAAGATCCTTCTTTCGCACGCAGGAGGTGCCCTTCCTTATGTTAGCTCCTCGGTTACAAATTTGACTTTTGACGCTTGTCGCAGTGTTCAGAAACCGGAGCAATTCATGAGGGAAGCGAGAAGCTTCTACACTGACTTGGCAGCGAGCAGTTACAGTGGGCCTGTGGGGTACATTGAAAAATGGTTGGGGCCTGGGAGAACTACTTACGGCAGTGATTTCCCGTTCCCTATAGTAGGTACCATGATGAAAGAATCGGAGTTCTTGGATGGTTGGATACAAAAAAATGGAGATGAAGGAAAGGCTGCTTTGAGGAAAACTGCATTGGAGTTATTTCCAAGATTGAAGGCCCAAATCGAGCAGGCTCAGATCATCGAGGAGAAATCTACGATTGAAAATCTTAATGCTAGTAGTGGCGGGAGTGCTATTGTCTTCACTAATGCTGTTTGATGGGCAGATAGGGGGGATGGTATTGTGTATCCTAGGTGAATAAGTTGCCGACTTTACCGGCACAGCTGTTGCTCGTTCTGATTTTCTTGACTCTCGAGTTTTCTCAATGATCCTCCAATCTAGATGCTAGTCATGACCACGTATTTCTGAACTATCAATAATCTTGATCGTGCAGAGGAAGAGGCGACTTGGAGACTTTCGCTCATTTATATCACTAGAAATAGTCAGTTGGATCTTTGTTATTGAGAGTACACACACACCATTAGCTTTTCGAGAATCAATATCCCACTTGATGTTGGCTTCGAAGAATTCTAGAAGAAACACGCATATTTAGGCTCTTTATCACTTCATTACTCACGTAACTGAATGGAAAATCTAAGCTCTACTCTGTCCTAAGCCTTCCAAAGGGTTGTAAAGCAAGATTCTCATGCCAGATGTTACATCGTCACATGTTTTAAACATCTTACCGAAATGCACGAGAGTCAAGTAGCAACCTGACATATGAGACTCTGAATCTCCGAGAATTTGTATATGTATTGTGCTTAGAACCAACTTTTGAGTAACGTCCTGGGGTAACGTTGTTATTGAGTCAAAATATTTGCAATGGAGGTTGAAACATATACTCAGTGGAACAGTTCATCATGTAAATAGAAACAAGCGACAAGCTAATAGAGATTATGGTAGCAATTGACCCCATTTACAAGCCATATTTTCAACCAAAATTCGGTTTTTACGGCTTCCGGGAGGTCTGAGGATCCATGCTGAACATGATCTGCCATAGCTCTGACAGAGCTGCAAACAAACACATAAACATTGAACTTAGACTTCGTGTGCTAATCTGACTGCGCACGTTGATTTCCCGATGTAAGAATTTCAAGGCACACATGGCAAATTCTACATTGAAGGTGGCGTTACTGAAAATCTTGACGTGTCTTGATTTTCCTGTATCGGCAAAGGGCAGGAGATCTCACATTACTTTACTCATTCACTTCGTAATGTCAAGATTAGGCATAGCTATGATGATAGATTTTCCCGGGAGCCGGAAAGCCACGGAAGTACTTCGAGCCGGTTGGTTAGTAACAGATTACCGCACCAATTGATGCTCCACGATATTTACAATAGAATACAGACGGACCTCATATTCGATTTCGATTCGCGACTGGAGAAAGGCAAGCCTCAAGCCTCAACATACCACAAACTTCTGACCATGGCAAGACTATTCTCATAACCATGACCATTACCATCACACACACACATACTGATATAGCCAAGTGGGAACACGATTGTCCAAGTATCACAATCCCTATAATTTACAACCATGTGAGCCTCATAAATTTCATGCTACTTGGGCTGATTGGGATTTGACAGTTGGTGATGTTTGAAGTCTACCATGGGGGAATAGAAACAAGCCTTAATGTAGCCTTTAATTACGGAAAGATGCGGCTCCCGCAATAAGTATTACCGCTAAGCCCTGGATGCAACTTATCAGAGCATCTAAGCTCAAGTTAAGTGGAGTTTTCGAAGAGAAATCCCATATAGATACTAAAGTTGAACAAACAAGTGAGTAAATGCTCTCCCGGAGTTTGTTTTAGCCTGAAGTAGATGATGGGATCCAGTTTCTTTAGATCTAGATATTATTTCGATGTGATTCTTCCATTTTAGGCAAACGCGTTTGTCGACACAGACTGCCCTTCGAGATCCAGACTTTCTGACTAACTCAAGCTCGGAGCGTTTCCTTCGTGTAAATTACCGGATATAACACTTCCAGTGCCTTTGTTAAACATCAAAAGAATCTAATCTTATTGCAATACTTGCTTCATACACATAGAACGGTCTTGGAGATCCAAAAGTAGCATAAGACAGGTCCGAATCCAATTGAAAATCAAATTCTGGTCGAGATACAAGATTTGTTGTGTTCAATTTTCATAATATAGGTGTCATTATCCGAAAGTGAATAGATCAATGATGAAAACCTCGAATTGAGAAGCTTGTGCAAGCTGATGAGAAACGAAAAATGCAATTTGGGCGCCATGATATACCAATCATCTACATTCAAAGGGTTGCAGAAGAAAGTGACCAGTGGAGATTAATCAGTGTTAGATGATCGGAATAAAGACTAGTTTCATTGAAAAACGTGGCTGTCGGAATGAAAAAATGAAGGAAGATATTTCACTGATGGATATATCAGTGTAGCGGGAGATGATAACTTCCAAACTTGAAGCTATATGACTGACCATGTGTGAATGGGTTAAAGCAAACACAATTCCAGTCCATCGAACGCTTCAGTTAGTATTTATTGGAGTTCCTAGTTTCAACACCATATACCTTGTACATCATGCGTTCAACAAGTGACGAGATGCCATCCGTGGCTATATTCTGTCCTCAAAGCAAAGCTCCACAGAAAATTTACCTCGATCGACTACACTCTTTCCTTTGCCAAAACCAATTCTTGAAACCTTTTGTTCAAGATATCCAAGATCTTCCTCAGACTTGGCAAACTTTCGCAAATCATAGGGAGGATATTGCGGCTCTCAAACAAGGGCCAAGATATATGAAAAATTTGTCTAACTGGATTACAACTGGTGAATCCGAACCCATTGCAAATGCAATGTCCGGCATATTATCATTACCTCTTTTAGTCATAATTCAAATAGGACAATACTTTCAATTTCTTGGATTGAATGGAATGAGACATTCTGAATTTCTCACTCAAGTTCGAAACGGTGGGGGAATTCAAGGATATTGTGGTGGCTTATTACCAGCTATGGCAATCGCTTGTTCGAAAGATGAAATAGAATTGGCGAAATATGCATCTGTGGCCATGCGTATTGCCCTTGGAATAGGGGCATACGGAGAGCTGGGTGATGATGAAAATATACCAGGACCAACAACAATTGTCGTACGCTTGAAACGTATAGGACAAGGGGAAGAGATTGTGTCCAAATTCCCAGGCGTAAGTCGTTCTCGTCTTAATATTAACCCCACAAACATATGGATTGAAGGGTCAATTTCTAATCACGTTCTATACTTTAGGCACACATTTCCGCTGTTACTGACCCCAAAACTATTAGCATGGTAGGGTCAGTGCCAGTACTTGCCAAAGTACAAGCATATGCACGCGAGCAAGGCCTACTTGTACAAGAAATGCATCTCCGAGGAAAGGTACATAATCCTGAGAATGCAGAGCTCTCGTTAGAATTGTGCGGTCTATGCGATAAAATAGATTCCTTGCAACTTCCACCGGTATCCGCTCTGCAGGCACCAATGAGATCAAATAAGACGGGGCGGCTACTCGAAAACGAATCTCTGAGCCATGAGGCTGTGCAGACAATCTTAGCATCAAGGTGTGAATGGTATACTCTTCTCACAAAACTAGCAAATGAACTTGAGAAGAGTGGAAAGAGATCACATGTATTCGCAACTTTTGGTATCGGTGATTGTGTCCCGTTGGCACCATTCCATAAGAAGCAATTGCGCATAACAAAACTCGATGTTCTCAGTGCAATCAACGGAGCTGTGCCATCGGTACCTAAACCACGAGAAGAAACGCATTATTCTTTTCCTGATGATGCCGTCGCCGTGGTTGGGGCCTCATGTCGTCTACCTGGTGCAAATAATCTGGAAGAACTTTGGGATCTGATATCAAAAGGAACCTCAGCTGCGAAAGAAGTTCCCAATGATCGCTTTGAATTACATCGTAGTTTCAGAGCTTCACAAGACTGGAAATTCGCTGGCAAAAGAAAGTTCTTTGGTAATTTTTTGGACATCGTGAAAGATTTTGACCATGCATTTTTCCGCACAAATCCAAGAGAAGCGGTAAACATGGATCCCCAGCAAAGAATCTTGCTCGAGCTTGCATATGAAGCAATGGAGTCTAGCGGGTACTTACGTTCGCATAAACGCGAAAATAATGATCCGATAGGGTGTTTCATAGGGGCTAGCTTTGTGGAATACCTTGATAATACAAACTCGAACGCACCAACCGCTTATACATCAACCGGAACTATCAGGGCTTTTCTATGTGGTAAAATCAGCTACTACTTTGGATGGAGTGGCCCATCAGAAGTTATCGATACTGCATGTTCTTCTTCACTAGTAGCAATTCATCGAGCAGTTCGGGCCATACAAAGTGGAGAATGCCCAATGGCTTTGACTGGTGGGATCAATATCATGACTGGCATCAACAATTATCTAGATCTGGCAAAAGCTGGATTTTTGAGTCCTACAGGGCAATGCAAACCATTTTGCGAGTCAGCTGATGGATATTGCAGGGCCGAAGGAGGTGGGCTGATTTTCTTGAAGTCATTGAAACAGGCGGTTGCAGATGGAGATCAAGTCCTCAGTGTCATTCCTGGAGCGGCGACAAATCAAGGAGGTTTATCATCTTCACTTACAATTCCTTCATCCCCGGCACAAATCCAGTTATATCAGAACATATTGAATAAAGCCAAAATGAAACCGGACCAGGTGTCTTATGTAGAGGCTCATGGTACTGGTACCCAAGCTGGTGACCCACTCGAAGTAGCAAGCATTCGACAAGTATTCGGAGGATCTGAGAGAACCAATTCTCTATACTTAGGATCTATCAAGGGCAACATTGGGCATTGCGAGACCGGAGCTGGAGTTGCTGGTTTACTGAAACTAATTGCAATGATCAACAAAGGAATCATCCCGCCTCTCGCAAGTCACAACACCCTTAATCCAAAGATTCCAGCTCTGGAGCCGGATCGAATGGCAATCACTACAAAAGCTATACCGTGGAATGCTCCATTCCGGGCAGCTTGCGTGAATAGCTATGGAGCTGCTGGAAGTAATGCTGCCATGTTGATATGTGAAGGTCCACGACAATACATAGAAGCACCAAAGAATCCACTTCAGATTAGTGCAAATTTTCCAATTATTCTAAGCGCATCAACAAAAGATAGCGTGTTGAAGTATGCGAAGAGTCTTGGAGACTATCTTGCAGCTGCATCGCCAAAACCAAGTCTCGATGACTTGGCGTTTACGTTAAGTGAACGAAGGCAACATCATAAATTTCGTTGGACTACGACAGAGTCAAATATCGATCGACTTATTCAACTATTGAAAACGGATACTCAGTCGTGTTTTGAGACCCCAAAGGTACTAAAGCATACCGTACTAGTTTTTGGAGGTCAAAGTAAACAAATAGTTGGACTTGACAAGAAGTTGTACCAATCTCACCCCCAACTTCGAGGGTATATAGATGATTGCAACGATCTTGTTACGAATCTCGGCTTCTCAGCTATCTTGCCAGCGATATTTCAATCTGAGCCAATCACAGATATCGTTGCACTTCAATGCGGTACTTTTGCAATGCAATATGCATGCGCGAAATGTTGGATTGACGCTGGACTAGAAATAGATACAGTAGTGGGTCATAGCTTCGGCGAATTGACTGCTATGACTGTAGCTGGAGTACTATCAATACAAGACGGAATCAAATTGATTGCTACTAGAGCTTCACTGATGCAAACGAAATGGGGTCCAGAAAGGGGGACAATGCTCGCAATTCATGCCAATAAGGAGCGTGTACAAGATATCATAGCTTGTATTAATTCAGGAGCTGGAGAATTGGAGATAGCCTGTTTCAATGCTCCTACAAGTCAAATTATTGTCGGCAATTTAATGTCGATAGCCGAAGTCGAGGAATTGCTAAGAATCGATTCTCGATTCAACGGTATTAAATCTCAACGCCTTGATGTTAGCCACGGCTTCCACTCCAAGTTTACAGAACCACTTCTGAAAGACATCGATGAGTTTGCAGAGACCTTGAAGTTCAATCAAGCAAAGATTCTAGTTGAGAGCTGTACTTTGGATTCATTGGAAGAAATATTGCCAAGTCGTCTTTCAGAGCACACCAGGGAACCTGTCTATTTCCTCGATGCCATTCGAAGAATTGAAAGAAGATTAGGACCATGTCTCTTTCTAGAAGCTGGAATGAATTCTCCAGGAATAGCAATGGTCAAGAGAGCTGTTCAGAAACCGGATGATCATTGTTTCCAAGAGATGAAGCTCAAGAACTCTCAAGATCCAATGGCTGTACTCTCGGCTATTACAACAAACCTTTGGCGTGAAGGCGTTCCAGTATCATTCTGGACCTTTCTATCGCCGCCACAAGAGGGAGGATATAAGCAAATTTGGCTTCCACCATATCAATTCCAACGTACGCCACACTGGTTGGAAAACATAGATAGAGTAATCGAAGCTCAAGATAGAATCTCTTCGACCGTACTCAAGCCTACAAAAGACTTCCAAATTCAAGCTCCCAAACAGCTCGTGACGAAAACAGACGGGTCGCGAAAAGAATACAAAATCCACATTGATACTGAAAGATATTCCAGAATTGTATCGGGTCATGCAGTTAGAAGACAGCCATTATGCCCCGCGTCAATGTATATGGAGTGTGCAGCCATGGCATTACAGATTTCAGGTGCTGATGTTGAAAAAAAGTCGATGTTCTTTGATGGCTTGACTTTCCAAGCTCCTCTTGGTATTTACATGGACCGAGAAGTGTCCTTGATATTGGAGGAATCTTCAGAACCACATATCTGGACCTTTGTAATGAAAAGTTCGTTGAAGGTCGACTCAAAATCTAGGCCCACGATACACGCAAAAGGAATGATTGGTTTGACTACTCAACCACAACTTTCAACTTATGAGAGACTTATATCGGATCGTGTCAATGCATTGATAAAGCAACCGGGTACTGAGAAATTGATGTCCAAACGAGCATATGGTCTTTTCTCAACAGTTGTACACTATTCGGACTTCTTACATGGGATTTCAAACATCACGATGGATGGAAATCAGGCAATTGCAGATATTGAGTTGCCTCCTTTCCCCGTCGAGGTACAGGAGAGCACAATCAATCATATCTGCGACACCGTCGCTTTGGATACCTTTATTCAAGTTGTTGGTTTACTTATCAATAGTAGCTCTCACTGCTCCTCTGATGAAGTGTACGTTGCTACCGGTGTTGACAGTACAATCATGTCAGTCTCATCATGCAATTTCACAAATTGCAAGTATTGGACGGTGTATGCTATGTTCACACCAACTAGTACTACCCAAGCCACTGGTGACATCTATGTTTTCACTCGAGATGGAAAATTGGTAATGACCAGCACTGGAGTCAGTTTCACAAAGTTATTGATAACAAAGCTCGAGAAAATGCTTGCTGCAGCAAATCCGAAAGTATCAAACAATGCACCACTGAAGCAAGAGCTCATGAGAACGTTAACGCCGATTACAACTCCAGGGTCACCAACTGAAGATGATTCGAGAAGTAGTATTGATGATTCTGATGATGAAGGGCCACCTACACCTACAGACTTTGTGTCGGGGGCAGACAATCTGAAAAATTTGATTGCCTCATATACAGGTCTTTCTGATACGGAAATTATTGATGATGTGAATATTGGTGATCTTGGAGTGGATTCGTTGGCAGCCGTTGAGCTTGCCGAGGAACTGCAAACAAAATTTGGGAAAGAGATTGCAGCTGAGGATCTTATGATGAGCACCTATGCAAATTTGCTCCGGATTTTCGTTTCTACAACACAATCGAGCAAATCAAAGCCGATAAAAGCCAGATCAGCGGCATCTGAGATCATTCAACAAACACCCAAAGCCTCTTCTAAGCATGACAGCAATTCATTACAAAGACAAAAGGTGTTACAAATGATTTCTGAGATATGTGGAGCTCCAATTGACGAAATCCGAGATTCAGCAGCTCTGCAAGACCTTGGTGTTGATTCGCTTTCGGCTGTCGAGTTGAAAAGTGAGCTTGAAGATAAATTTCCAATCGAAATTGATGAGGATGATCTCAGTCTAGAGTCAACAGTCAAAGAGGTATTGAAGTATCTCGGCATTGAGGCAACCCAACAACAACAAAAACCTATCATTGCAGTTTCAAACGGCAACACGAGCTTATCCAACAGTCTTGAAAGAGCCATTGCAAATCCACCGGTAGTTCTAGCAAACCCCATGGACATAATTGAGAAAAGTCAAGCAGCCTTTGAACCTGCTGCCAAGAAGCTCGGATATATCAATTACTGGTCTGAAGTTGGTCCAAAGCAAGATGAACTATTGATAGCATACATTGCAGAGGCGTTTAGAACACTTGATGCTGATTTATGGAAACTTGGCAATGGGCAAGAGTTACCAGATATTACTTATCTTCCGAAACATTCAAAAGTTATGGCTCGATATATGGAAATACTGCAGACAGGAAAGATCATTGAAAAGAAAGGCAGCAAATATTTTCGAACCTCAAGAAGTCTTTCAAATTTGAGTTCGGATGAATTGCTTCAAAACTTGCTGCGACAATATCCTGCCTACGCAGCAGAATCGAGACTAATGGAATTGACTGGTCCAAAACTCGCGAGCTGTTTGACTGGAAAAGCTGATCCTGTTGCACTAATGTTTGGTACCTCGGCAGCACAAAGGACAATGGGAGACTATTACACTACTTCGCCTATGCTTGGTACTCTCACTGAGCAATTGGTCGATTTTATGAGACAAATCGTGATCAACACTACCGGTCATGGACCAATCAAAATTCTAGAGGTTGGAGCTGGATTCGGCGGAACAACCACACGACTTGCAGAAATCCTTCAAGAAGCTGGTCGACCAGTTGAATACACTTTCACAGATATTTCTCCTTCACTTGTCAAAAATGCCAAGACAAAATTTGCGAAGTATGATTGGATGAAGTTCCAAACTTTGAACCTCGAAAAGGATATTCCAGCGAATATGAGAGGACAATATGACATCGTTATAGGAACAAATTGTGTCCATGCAACCACTAACAAGACTTCTTCGACTAGACATTTGAGGGAAACATTGAGAGATGGCGGCTTCGTTATTCTCTCTGAAGTTACGAAGCTCATTGATTGGTATGATGTGGTGTATGGACTTCTAGATGGTTGGTGGTTAGGAGATGACACCAATTATCCTCTTCAACCACCAGAATTTTGGATGCAGTGCTTTAAAAAGGCAGGATATGCTTCAGCGTCGTATACGGAAGGATCAACGCCAGATTCCAATACGCAGCGTCTACTTATCGCTTCTACCAAGCTCCTCAAAACTCCAAGTCGTGAATGCACTGCGAAGAGGGAGTCGAAATTGGGTCAAAGAGTCGAAACGGTGACTTATAAAATTGTTGATGGTGTTGAAGTACTAGCGGATATCTTCCTACCGGAGGTGGCACCGATCAATCCAATGCCTATAGGTAAGGTAATACCAAAGCACCTCTTCTCGGTTTTTCATATGTTGACTATTTGATTCCAGCCTTGATGATCCACGGCGGCGGACATATGACATTATCAAGAAAAGCCATTCGTCCAGCTCAAACATCACTTCTCCTTGCAAATAACGTAATTCCTATTAGTTTGGATTACAGATTATGCCCAGAGGTAGATCTTATCAACGGCCCCATAGCAGATATTCGTGATGCATATTTTTGGGCTCAAACCAAACTGCCAGGGCTTGTGAGTGATAGAGGAATCAAGATAGATCCTACCAAGATTGTCATGATTGGTTGGTCAACAGGAGGTCATTTGGCAATGACAACCGCATGGACAACCAAAAATATTGGCCTAGAGCCTCCTTGTGCAATATTAGCATTTTATAGTCCAACGGATTTCGAATCGGGAGGTAAGTGAACAGATTCGAAACCAAAGTTATGGTGAACTAATGTCAGCAGATTTAGATATCAGTCGTGCAAATCAATACCCGGGAAGGAAGTTATCCCTGGACACGATTAGAAAATCCCTTTCCACGCGTCCGGTGAGAAATTTCCTCATTTTGAATCGAGCGATGATAAACTAATATAGGATTAGATCACAAATTATGATGCTGAGAGCATCGATTCAACAGGCCTAGGATGGGTTCGTCCAGGAGATCCGAGATCCGAGCTTATGTTGTCTCTTTTTAAAGAAGGGAATGGCCTTAGTATTATGCTGAATGGTATCTCTGATGATGATTGGTGTAGAAAACCGGATCGAGAACGTGTCGCGTTCATCAGTCCTATGGCTCAACTCCGATCCGGTATATACACCACACCAACATTTTTAATACATGGCGAGGATGATGAGATTGTTCCATTTCATACGGCGAAGAAATTTGTGACCGCTTTGAAGGAGCATGGAGTACAGTCTGGTTTGTTGGGGGTGTCTTGTGCAAAACATATTCATGACTTAAATTTGAGGCCGGGTATGGAAGAATGGAGACGAGGTGTTGAGCCAGGATATGATTTCTTATTCGAAATACTGTCAAGATTATGAAAATGAGAAGTAAAAAGGGTAGATGGAATGCTTGTTAGTTTTGTAGACGCACTTTAGATTTAATATGCAATGTTCTGTTTATATTTAATGTGTTTTACTAGTAAATGGTTTATATTAATGAATGAGTTATTTCGAAAATTATTTAAATCAAGCTTTTTAAAATATTAATATCTTAATAATTAATTATTATTTTCTTGAATAAAAGATCTTAAAAAATAATTAAAATCTAGGTTTTTTATTGATCAAATTTTTATAAAATAATTTCATTATTTTCTAAAAAAAAAAAGGAAACTGTTACAATTTTCGTTACAAAAAAACTATTTTTATAATAACAACTTTATAAATTCGAATTTCTTAAAACTAATTAGATTTTTAAAATTTTTATATATTCAAATATTTTATATCAAATTTTCAGAAAATTATATTTATAAATAAAGAAAGTGTATGATTATATACAGACGAATTTTGTATGTAAAATAAGTAACCTATTCACTAATATAAATCACTCACTGTTAAAACACGTTAGATGAATTGTCCCATCAACCTTACGTAAGCGATTGAGGTCGGCCACCAGTAGGTGCACAGACTCACGGGACAACGTGACAGGAAAGCACAATTTCACACTCAAATTTATCAACTTCAAAACTCAATCAAAATTCCAAATTTCATTTAATATTATTTAGATTAAGATATATGATTTATAAATATAAGATTTATATAATATATAAAGATTGAATTTTAAAAATCAAATAGTACGTTTTCCCACCAAATTTTTTGGTGGGATATCATATAATCGATTGTATAAACTTGAATTTTGTTTTTTTTGAAATAGAACTCTTACTATATAAAATTCTTATACTTGAGAATAATAATTCTTAATTTCAAACTCGAATATCAATTTTTTGAATTTTAATTGAATTATCAAAACAGCTCTTTTTGGTGTGAAATTGTGCTTTTCCTCTTAAGTGTCCCGTGTGTCTGTGCACCCACTGGTGGGCACGGAAATGTAATTAAGGCCGATGCCATATCTTGCCCCCTTTCTGTTCCTGACATTTTCTCGTGTAATAAACCAACAACCACAATATTAGCAATTTCTTGAAACCAATCAGCCTGCAGCGAGATCTTCGGTATGAACACGCGTAATAATGAGCATAAGGGTCCCGAAAGTCGGGTCCTTGTTCAAACGTATCGACGTACCATAGAAGGTGGCTCGCTTTGAGTCGCTTAGGAGCAGGTGGTTGCGCGTGTACCAGAAATTGGCAGAGTTTCTGTGACTTTGATTCAAGAACATGTCTCCTGGTGACGGAGATTTGCTCTTCCACGCTCCACTTTTCTGAATCTCAGCGAGCACAAGACGGTAGTTCTTAGAGAAGTGGTCCAACAGATAACAATGTTGCAACGGTTACAAGCGTACAAATTATTTAAAATGTGGACAACTAAGAGGGTATCGTAATTGAATGGTTGGACACGGAATTCTCTCACACCGAGATCTCCGTATCAATCTTCAGTCTTTCCTTTCCACTTTTCCGTTTGGCTTTCCCCAGCTTACATGCTCCAATCATGATGTTCAAAATGCACATTCTTACGTTCCTGTTTGGTCTTTTCCACCAAACGCTCGCCTTCAATAAATCCAGTGTAGATGAATTGGCAGCTCATTTCAGTGAGGCTCTCTCACCTGGGTCTCAAGTCTGGCTTCCCAGTAGTGCTAATTACACTTCCGCAATAACTCAAAGATGGACAATCTATCCACCAGCCGAGCCTACATATATTCTTGCCCTGAAGCCAGCGCTGCCTTCTGATATTCAAATTATTGTGAGTTATATTCTTTGTGCCTAGAGATGTCTAAGTCTCTATTACTCGTGCTGGCCGTCAATATCAATGTGCTTTCCGTAGAATGTGAAACGCTTCGAGTTTATACACCAGAACTGACGCTTTGTTAATTGATGTTGGCGTTTCCAGATTCAATTCGCATCAAACCACAATATCCCTTTTATGGCAACAGGAGGAGGTCATGGATACTCGGCAACATTGCACAGTTGCAAGAATGGAATCGACATCGATTTAGGTTTCTTCCACGATATCGAAATCGACAAAGAAGCAAGCACGATCACAATTGGAGGATCTATCAAGTTTGGGGAACTCCTAAAACCATTATTCGATGTTGGAAAAGAGATTCGTAAGATATTTAGGCCTTGATTACTGGCAAATTCTAACATTCTCAAGAAACAGGATTAGCAGAATGCGTCGGTGTTGTTGGAGCAACATTGGGTGCAGGGCTCGGACCATATACTGGCATTCACGGTCTAGTAATCGATGCTCTGCTGGAGGTGAAGTATGTCACCGGAAACGGCGAGTTGATCACAGCATCTAAGACAGAGAATCTTGAACTTTTCTGGGGAGCTAGGGGAGCTGGTCATCAATTCGGTGTTGTCTATGAAGCCACATATAGAATACATGATGCCACTAATAATGGGGAGCTGATAGTAGCGACCATGCGATTTCATTCGAGCGATAGTGCATCTTTGTGGGAAATAATGAAGGATATTGGAAATGACCAACCCAGAGAAATGTCATTGGCCGTTCAAGTAAACTGGAATGATGATTTCGGTGGTGTAAGTCATTTGCAGGCTGAGATTTTCTCAAAAGCTAACATCGCCCCTGCAAAATAGCTCAACATTGTAGTAAACGCAAAATGGGTCGGACCGATGGAAGAAGCCCTCATCGCGTTTGCTCCTTTTTTATCCCTCGATCCCATCCAAAGAAGCATATCCCAAGTCCCCTGGACCTCCATTTACGGCTCATCTGTTCTTGGCGGCGGCAGTTCTAGCTGTGATCGCGGCGCAAAGAGTAGTAATTGGGCCGTAAATCTGTACACCATCTCTACTCCAGCATTCACCCACACGCTCCAAAAATTGGCAGAATTTTACTTTAATTTTCCTTCATCAAGAACGAGCGTTTGGTCAATTGAAAAGTTTGCCAATTCAGTAACTCTTTCGACACAAGACAATGAAACGGCATATCCTTGGAGGAATACTACAATCTATACATTCGTCGCTTTGCAAGTAAATGGCGATTCTCAAGATGATGCTATAAATGCTTTTGGTGCTTCTTTCCAAGCCGAGATGGCTAAGTCTAGTGGGTATGATGATTTGAGGGTCTACATCAATTATGGTCGGGATGAAGGGGAGGAAGTGTGGTATAGTGAAGGAAAATTACCGAGACTGAAGGCTCTGAAAAGGAAGTATGATCCAATGGAGTTATTTAGTCACTACAATCCTGTGAAGATTTCTGAGCAGCCTGAAAAAAGTGTCGATTATGGACACTTGGGAAGGGGGCTAAAATAAGTCTTGTGTATGAGCCAGACGTATTTTGTGTGATTTAAAGACAGCTTAACTTTATCAACTAGAGTTCTAAACCTCACAAGTTTAATCCAATCTTGTTAATACTTTACCTCTTTCCTCTTTCTCCTTCTTATACTAGTAACTGTTTACTCCACAACATGTGATACTTAATTAAAATCTCAACGTCATTATTTCAATTTAGCTCCCTCTCGGCAATCCCTCTCAGCAATACATAAATCTTTTCCACCCACACTTCACGAGATCCCTTCTCTCTTCATCTACCCACCGTTTACAATCAACAACCCGATAGACATACTCGAAAATGCCCGACATCCTCTATTTCGTGCTCGGTATTGCCCTCGGATTCTGCCTTCTTATTTTGAGATTTCCCGCGCTCGTTCGCTACGTCATGGCTTCCCAACATCTCGCCGTTCCCTCATCATCTCGTAACGAACAATTACTAAACCTCTTTTTCTTCGACGTTCTAAATCCTGTCATAGCTACCGACGAGTCAATCGACCATGTGAAAAAAAAAACTAGAGGATAGAGATGCTAGATTGACCACAAAATGTTTCCCGTCAATGGGATCTTGCCTTGATTGGGATAGAGAATTTCTCAAGGGGAGAAGTACTCTACCTCTGGCTGATCTGGAATTGGAATTGAATGATATACCTGAATAATATCAGGATGATTTCTATGTATTCGTCGAAACCTTCTACGAACGACTGGAAATAAAAAAACAGGGTGGAGAGTTTGCGACTAAGAAATATTATAAGAAATTAGGCTCTTTAAGATTTATTTGGACGAGGGAGGAACACCGACTTCGTTTGAAAGATGACATAGAGGAAGTTTGCGATGGAACCTGTGATATGACTGACAAAATGGAAAAGGGATCATCAAATTGTCGAACTATTGTGAGAAGACATCCCCCGACACTGTCGCCAGAGCCGAAAGATAGTTAGAACAAATGAATCTCATATGACTGCAAGTATCACTGAGAAATCTGCCACAATATCAAACTTTATGAGTAAATACCCCCTTTCGATAATAAAATATTCAATGGTGACAGACGTAACAGTTCAGGAAGAAAATACTTTGACGTAATCTTACCTTGACCCTCGACATATCTCCCCATTTCCCTCCAAAATCTGAATCTTTTTCAATTTCCACTTGATTCTTTTCATAATCTACCAGTCAATCTATGTCTCACATGAGGAAGTTAAAGCCAAATTAAACACATTTTTTATTGAGATCACGCTAATGACCTGCGCTGAAAAGCTCTCGCTTGTGGAGGACAAACTCAAACTGCTTTATGTTCGACCTAGATATTGTTTTTTGACTGTTCATCTCCTTTTTTTCTTTGAGCTTCATAATATCGGTTATTCGTATGATCCTTTGATATTTGATGTCTTTTCACTATTCCAGCAACATTGCGAGAGTCTTTCAGTCCCAGTTGAATATTGACATTGGGACAGTATGCGCACTCTAAGCGAACGGTATTGGCAGAATAGCGAAGAGTAAATTTTGACTGTGGATATTCACGTTTCGCGATGTCTAGTTGTCTCTGAATAGTTTCAAGGTCAAGGTGAACTTCTCTCTCCTTGAGAATGGATTCAAAGGAATCATGGTCCTGAGTGTTTGAAGTAGCCCTTCTTGTTGACTTCTGAGGCTCAGCCTCAATACGCTTGCTGAACTGTGCATCTCTATTGATAATATCCTGTCTTTGTCGTTCCCATGAAATCTCGAATCGTTCGAGGATGTCTCTAAACTGCAATTTCCCGAATCTTTGAGAATTTGCCTCCATATTCTTTCGCTGTTTGGTGACATAATCATCATGTCTTTTTAAATCCAATTTTGTGTCTTTAGCAAGAGGTTTTAGCTTGTTGATGGCTGGTTTGTTTTCGTTTTTCGACTTCATAAGATCCAGTTTTTTGTCCAACTCGGTTTTCATTTGCTTGATCATCTTATCGTTAGCGTCTTCCGATTCCAATTCCATCCTCCTACGTTTCATAGTCTCGGCCCTATCCTCTTGAGCTAACTCTCTTTTCAAAATCTCTGCTTTTGTCGTTGTTCCAATTTTCCGTTTCTGTCCTGCTTTAATAACATAGCAAATTTTGTTCGTGGATGCAGCTCCTGATCGCTCCTTGGACTTCTCCTCTTTCATCGTAAGTGAGGGTGCCATGCTTGACTTATTCTTTGGAAGCTCTCTGAGAGTTTGTTTTCCTCTTGCTCCTACCGTATTATCTATGATTGATGGGACTGTAGTTTCCCAGCTCCAAGGCTTCTCCTCTTTCTTTTCACTCAAAGGTGACTTGGTCTTGCGTTTGAGCTTGATCGCCCTCATATCTTCATATGCTGTCATGGTGGAAGCGACAGTAGTTTTCAACAAGCTTCCAGATTCCACTTTCCTCTCAATCGAATAAGGTTTGGTTGATGTATCCTGAAAGATTCCACTGGAATCAATCAAACCCCTTTCCTCATATGTCATAGCTGAAGGAATTGTATCCCTCAACGATCTCCCATGTTTCTCTTCCATCGTCGACCTCGACCTTTTGTCAGCATACGTCGATGTCATTGAAACTGTATACTCCCACCATTTATCAACCTTAACAATCTCCCAGAATGCATATACGCCGAGTCCTAAGTATTTGATATCCTCGATTTTGGTATCGATTGACAACCCGACGTCGCCGTCCATGAGAATAGAATTTCGACCGGTTCTCTTGAAGTGTGATGTCAGGATTTTCTCGATCGTGGCTGTCTACAAGATCTGAGTCAGCACGTCACACGTTCAGCATGCAGAACCGATATAGAATGTAATCTTACCTTCTTAACCTTAATCCATAAAAAATCTCCATGTTCACATTTTTCCAATGGAACTCCTGGTTGTAGAATCGCGATATAATATTCCCAAGACTTTCGAGGTACGAGGGGTAAATTTGAGGACGCGACACGATGTAGATGACTTCGTTGTATAGTATTAGCTTCGCGCTATGCTTGTTTTCTCAAATTTGGCGTCTGCTTACTTTTTGTGGTCTTCTTTCTCTCTCGCCATGGCTGCTCTCATCATATTTGCGGTTCCAACGTCAAGGATTGAGTGTCAGATAGTAAAACCTGTACTCAAGTAGAGGTACGGAAGTTATAATTGGAAGGATATCAAAACGAAATGGCGATAAGAATTTGAGAAAAGATTAGATAGATTGTCGAGAATTATCTCTTCCGATATAAACGAGAAAGGGAGTAGATGTGGAGTAGACACAGTATAAATATAGATGTGGGGATAGAGAAGGAGAAGGATGAATTGATATTGATATCAATAGATTAATCAATCTACTAATACCTATTCAATAAAACCTTAAATTCCCGTCAAAAAACGACAGCTATAAAACCACGTCGAAAATTCAATATTCAATGTGTTCGGTTTTGGTATGGATGCAATCAACATCTCATATGTTGAATAATCCTGTTATTTAGAATATTGCGACTAGGAGAAACAAAAAAAGTTGTACAGTTTTACTGAAGATTCAGAACTTGAAGATATACGGCTTGCTCTACAACATCTCTACTACCTAGTACTACTAAGTTTTGAGACTTCAAACTAATCTTATTATCACTCAGATCCCAGTCATTGAATCGTAGTGAATGAGCATTGGTCACGTTACGAATCTGTCCCTTCTGCGAACTTTATGAGTCCATGCCCCTCGACGGTTTAGATAGTATTCGATTGGAAGGTACGACGGCCATAGTTATTAGAACTTTTGTTATCCATTTTCTGATCTGATCATCTCTAAGTCTTGCATGGTTTTCTTCTACAGTCTCTGATCTCAACATTTCTGGTGAGGATCATGATACAATATTGCGGCTCTATCTACCTCACCACTACACTTTTCGTCCACAATAGATACATCAGAAGCATGATGAATCTAAACGTAGAAAAATGCAATGCCTTCCAGAATTAATCCTTCTATTTCCAGGTCTGTTCCATTGACTGAATGCGCGCATCCAGGTACTCGATTCTACTTTTCTCCTCGAGCTGCAACATCCCTCACACGTATTACCTAGTATGCAAGCAACAAAATTATCGAATTCGTCTTCATTCAACGCAGTCCAATTCTTTGCTTTTCATCTGCCAGATCTAAATAATGTCGGCATTAGGAAAGCCAACTGGTTCGATTCTTTGACACTAAGTTTCAGGCGGAGGTGTCAAATTGTCTGTCGCTGAACAGAAACTCTGTCACTTCAACCTTCACGCTTATCTTCCGATGTCGAGACGGTTCCGCGACTTCACAACGAGAAACATGCCATCAATTATCGGGTCAACATTCGTTCGTCAAATAATAAGCACGGGTCGAATAGAACAGGGGACAACGATAGGCAACACATTACTTCATACTACCACACAAATCACTTAATCATCACTGTTGAAGACTCAATTTTTCGTTCAAAAACACGTGTCGATTTTCTATCTACATGGTCCAATGATTCTGAACAGGAGACCTCTGTATCATCGACATGCGATCGAACCGAGAGATTGGATTTTGTTTCGAAAAATTATTAGGTCTCTCGATTCAACAAATTGCTGATTGACATGATTGCGCGGACATGTCTTGCCGCGATTTGCTCCTCTATGGGAAGATCTCCTTTAAAGTCCTTCCAGAGACCGTAGTAGCCCTCGTCAGTGGAACGAATGTCGGGTCGTTGGGCGTAACCGATAGTGACGCCGCGAAAGACAATTGGTCGTCCCTCATCGCTGGCGGCAGCGGAAGAACCAGCTCCGGCATTGGAACCACCAGAAGCTGTGGGATTATCCATCTTTCTTTTAGACAATAAGAGGTTAGTTGATTAACAGGGTGATATCAAAAGATGAGACGATGTGAATGCATGAGACGATATAAAAGTATGAGACGATGTGAATACATAGAACAATGTGGATGTACTTGTCAACAGGGTAGTATATCACAGCATGAATGTACAAGTGAACGTGGATAGATTTAGCAACAATAATACACCAAACAGTGTAAGTGTACAGGAAAGAAGCAAAGTATGGGGCTACATTATGACACGAATCAACAACAGTGTTACGATTAACGAGTGTGATATACAGATAACATTAAAGAAGCAATAAGCAATAAGCAACAACATTACAATAGACAACTATGATATACAGATAATGGTAAAGAAATAACAGCAGTAGCAACTAGGTTATGGGTGAGAATACTGACTAGCTAGTAAGTGTTTTTGGGTATAGAGTATGAAGTTGAAGTTTGAAAGGGAGTATCGACGTTGATATCGATATGATGAGGTATCTGAAGTTTGGGGTGCTTCAGATAAGATGATGGATGTGTTTGGATGTAGAATTTCACAGTGAGTAGAGAAATTTATATATACTATCCATTCTTCAGTCCGAATAGAAATTCACACTAAAGATCTGGTAGGCGAGATTAGAATCTGCGCTAGACAGGTTAGGGGGAATTAGTCTTTATGTCAGGTGATATAAGTGTATATGATTCACGGTGTGATCAGTGGTAGGTAAGTAAGCTAGATGTCAAGCTTTCTTGATTTACTGGGAAGAGTGATTGGGCTTTGAACGCGACCTTCACAGTTTTAGACCATTCTGGGAAGGTGCTGTGATGCATCAAGAGTCTATACGCTACTAGATGAGACAAGAAAGAAAATTTAGCTTTTTTGAAACAGCCAAGTCACGAGAAAAGATGGAGAGATGGAGAGATGAAGAAGTAGAGAATTTGAAATTGTATGGGATGTGCAAGGTATCCATTTTATGACAACGATTTTCACTCGAGGAGGTACCAAAAATTTATCTATCGCTCACTTACATCAGGTTCTAACCCTAAAAGTCTGGTCAATATCCTAATGCCTCTGTAATGCCAGAAAAAAAATTGGTACATCTTTTCCAAACGGCCACAAGAACGAAAGTCAGATCCAGTCGCATACCTCGCTAAATTGTTCGCATTTGTCAAAGCGTGAGTTACATCCCTTCCAAGGCTACTAGGTACCTAAGTATCTATCGCAATTCAAACCTTAGGTATGATGGATAAATGATATAGAAGTAGGCCATAGAGGAATCTATGCTAGATTGTCATGGGATGAAAATTGATAAAGTAGAGAAAGGAGTCGATTCTTTGACAGGATTGCATTTGTGCTGAAATGAGCAGAATTTTCAGCCTAGCTTCAACGAGGGGTAGAATCAGGCGGAAGCTGGAAATTTCATATGATATGATATGAGAACTTGATTTGGAAACTATAGGAGAGGAGATGCGATAAGTTTCACCACTCCCTCCTCATGGATCATCGCAACTGCCGCATGACCACAATCTCTCACCTACAGTTGCCATCGGCCACCTACTGGACTATACTTCAGAATTTGATCGATGGGTAACACGTCCAACCGATTTGGATTGAATTGTAACCTACAAACTTCTATCAACCTCAAGGATTAAGCTGACATAGTGCCTGCCATAATTCACTTGTTACGTTCACGATGGGATGAACTGCTCGTGTATACGCCGAATATTCCATTTCTGTGGGTGATAACGATGATTTTGAATGCTGTCCCACTACCATACATTCGGGTCATTCTTTATTTTCCTAGCATAATCCAAAACGCCATTGCTATGCATGCATACGATCAAATCATTCATTTTCCATCTACCGCACTACAATAATATCTGTTTCTCCATCCCTCACCCATCAACTTTTCATATCCCCTGTACCTTCCTATAACTAGGCGGTTTGATCGTTCTCCTAATCAATTTTCCGGCATACGGTGGAATGAGTGAGATGGCCGAAATTGCCGCGACCCTCCATACAAATCCCCTAGATAATTTATCAGCTTCATTTACATGACTCGACGCCCCAATGGCTCAGCAACTCGTGCCCTGTTCATCGCTCCAACCTTCTTTGCCACAGCAAGTTGGAGAAATGGGAGGAAGAAAGAAAACTTACCAAGTAACAACAAACGACAAGTCAAAATACCCTCCCAAGAATGGAATGCTTCCCAAGTACAGCAAACCTGTGCCAATCAGACTGACTATCATAACTGGATGCCATGTCGTTATCTCGAAAGCCACCATTGTAAGTTCATTCAATACCAATACTGTAAAACTAACTGCCACCATTCTCGGTCCATCGACTTCGGTGAGAATTTGAGAAAGACCCTGGATCATACCACCTTGGTAGATGGAAACGAAGACCCAAACAAAAAACGTTCGATAGGAAAGTGATGAGCCAGATGTTAGTTCTTTGTAAAGTTCAGGGTAGAGATTTGCGAGATCTTCGTCAACATCTTTATCGAGAACTAGAGAAAAGACAGGTGCCATTGTGTAAACAGTTGCGTAGCCGACGAGCAACCAATCTTTGTATAAGCCTTCTGGTTCGAATTTGATAGCAATGCTATACATTGTTTGAGCCACACTAATGATGAGACCTCTATGAATTACAAATTGGGCGAGTTTAGCACTTCGTTTATAACTATTTCGTCCATGCCAAACGAGAAGTTTGGTGAGATGACAGAATTGTTCAATGGAGAAATCCGCAGCAAGAGAGGCTTGTCGTCCTTCTTTTCCAACTATACCTACACCAACATCCGCAGCTTGGATCATGGAAACATCATTTCCTCCATCTCCGATACAACAAACGCGCTTCTTGGTATATTCTCGAATGAGTTTTGCGACATCGGCTTTCTGAGTTGGTGAACATCGACATGCAACGACTGCTGGGAGAAGAACTGCCAGAGAGATAAATTCGGTTCGGAAATGGGTTAGAAGTAAAGCTAGACTCTCGCCATCGATCAAGAGACAAGCATCAGTTTTTCCGCGAAGAAAGTCGAGATGATCCTGAGCATTATCCTTTCGCCTGAGCTTATCGATAGTATGTATATATTGTCCTCTTGCTACCAATTTGGCACTGACAGCAACGCATCGAGCAGTCTCGACCTTATCACCAGTCAACATCCAAATCTTGATACCTGCGTTTCGTAATAATTCCAAAGAAGGTTTGACATCCTTCTGAAGCTTATCCTCAACACCAGTGACACCTAAAAGCTCAAGGTCCTTCTCGAGGAAATGGGAAACCACACGAGCCATACCTGTATCTCGATTGCTAATCGAAACTGAAGCCTCTTTATAACTTTGCGAAAAGTCCTTGTAGTTTTGAACAGACATCTTCTTTCGTCCAACGACCAAAGTGCGAAGACCTTCTCTAGCCATGTTTGCAGTTTCCTCATCAAGCCAATCATTTGCAGCGACAATTGAAGTCATTACAGTATCTGCACCTTTTTGATAGAACCAAATCTCTCCAGCCTCCAGATTACTGGTCGAAGATGTTTCAGAACCATCAAGGAACTCAACAATGATTCCCATACGTTTTCCTTCGGATGTAAAAGGGAAAACTTCGAGAATACGAACACGAACGACGGAACGACCTGTATCGACTGATTGCAAAAGCATCCCTTTCCTATCACGATGAATTAAACGCAGCCCGACAGCTTCGGTCCATTTAACAATCGCAATCTCATCAGGCGAAGAAGCTTGATAAGATGTTACATCTTGCCCATTTGTTTCTTCAATAGTTGGGGTGACATTATGACAAAGAGCAAGGGCGAGGACTACGTCACGTACTCTCGACCCAATCTCTCTGCGGGTTCGAGTGGCGGTAACAGTAGTTGAAGCGACAGATGAGGGTGTGACAAGTATTGAAGATTGATTGGCATCTACAGGAACCGAGAATCCTTGTTTGACATAGGAAGCGACTTCATCCATTGCTTCATTTGCATAAGAGACAGTTCCAACATGGATTTTCTTCATTTCCATTTCATTTTGCGTGAGGGTTCCGGTTTTGTCACTAAGTAGATATTCAATTCGACCAAGTTCTTCAGGTATAGTACTTGTACGAACAACGGCTCCTTCAATTCCTGGATCTCGTTGAATGAACCAAGAGTAAACACTCTTTCCCATATCCAGATTGACACGGAGACTGATGGGTACAATGGTAGAAAACAGTACCAAGAATCTCATGATTTTCACATACCATTTGACTCCTTCAACATGCTCAAACCCTTCTAATGCAACAAGAACAATAGATAGTGTAAGTGTCAAGGCGCAAAGAATTTTGGTAAGGGAGTTGATTTCGTTCTCAAGAAGACCGGTCTTTGATCGAGATGGAGATGTAGAGAGAGCTGATCTAGTTTGAGGTCCAGTATAAACGATTACTGCCAAAGTGGTAGCACTCGAGGCAAGAACAGTATTGGCCCAAGCAGTGTTGTCAATCGTTAATGGTGCTGAATCTCCGTCTTCCTCGTTGTTATCAGGGTTCGCTCCCCCTTTAGGCAAATGTGGGTCATACCCGCTAGCACCTTTGGGAAGAAGACTAACGGTACCGATGAAGTCATTAACCTTTTTGTCGGGTTTCCCAGCTACAACACGAAGACGTATAAATTCAGACGGGTCAAGAGATTGTGTTAAAGGAGAGCCTAATCTCAATTTCCAGTCTGTCTCGCCATCTAATTGATCTGTTCGAATAAAGGTTTCACCTGCGCCCGCTGCATCTGCTGCAGGTGTATTTCCAAGTTGCGAAGTTGACCCTCTGGATTCTGAAGTAGTGGCTGTAGATTGATCAATTGAAGGATCAGATATTGGCTCTACCAGTAAAGACTCAGATGGTTCAACTACATTGGTCACTGCAGGTTCATGTGATACCGCAGCTGAAGATTCATTGGCTGTACTCTTCAAAATAACGACATCAGCAGGAACTCTTTGATCCTTTCCTAATTTCAAGACATCCCCGACTTTCAAATC